CTCATTCAAGGCCTTTGGAAACATAATTTTTATCATAAGATAAATAAAAATTATGTTATTATTCATTTAACATTACCATTATATACAGTTATGTATACATATAAATATAGATTTATTGGTTAACCATGTATAAAATGGCATTTGTTATCAAAGCATCCTTTTTTTTTTTCAAAGATGGTGTAAAGTGGCATGTGTTTTATGTCCTAACATGTCATATTTATTTTGTATAACTTTCTTGTTATTTAAAAGAATTTATCTAATCTTAGCAGCTACATGTTTTGAATTTGGACAGCTGTTTAGAATGAAACAATAACACTATAAACATAGGATTCATTTTAAAAACACATAGTAAGTTGTAGAAAATTTATTTGACTGTATTAGAAACAATAAAGATTTTAAACTGTCCCTAAGTAAATGATTTGTTGTACATATTCCAGAATCACTTGTATACTCATTAGGCTTAGTCTTCTATTTTAATGCTCAGATATTATTCAGCTAAAGTTTAAACCATAGATAAGGAAAACATTTACTTCTTTTAAACAAGAAAACAGCTGAATGACTACTGCATAATCTGGAATGTGATTTTGTTGAGTTAAATAATATCTTTAATTCCTGAGCAAATTGAAATTTTAGCAGGTCACTCTGTTGAAAGGTGGAGCCCACAATTAAGATTTTTACAGTTTAAATAGTTGTTTCTATCCTTCAGTATTTCTGTGGGTTACCTACCAATCCTAAATGAATTCAGTTGAGTGTATGAGACATAAGATTATGTTAGAAATTTTGATTTTTATGGTTGTAATTAGATCATACCAGTAAAAAAAATAAAATTATTTGGAATATATTTTAGAATAGATGATTTTTTTACTCATTATATTTTTGAAAGAAGTTGTAGAATTACATTTTAGTGTTAACAGTGTTTGACAATATAGCCTGATATTAAAGGAGATAAAACATATTCATATGTTTAAATAATTTAAACTTAATCCTAAAAAGTGTACATGGAATTGCGAAGTTTATATCATTTGATAATGAGTTTGATGGGACCATCAAAACATGAACGTTGACCACAAGGTTTTGTTTATCCTTAATTTTAGATTCAATAGTTCATGGATGAGAATTTGGTTTTATGGATAAAAGGATCCACTCCTGTACTTTCTCGTTCATTATTGTTATCTGTCCTTAATAATAAAATGGTGTAAACAAATGATTTTATGCATATAGATGAGAATGATAAAGCCAAAAATAATGTAAAGCTCATTTTATCATGAGGATAGCAAAATATGAATCATGATTTCCAGCTAAACTCTGAACAACACTTATCACCAAGATCTTACAATTTGTAAACAAGGCACAAAATTTATGTGCACAAACTTTTCTCTTGTCATCTTACTGAAAAATAAAATACACCATCATGTGACTCATATGTTGGATGACATGAATTTGTACAAATGACCATGATCATGTTCAAGCAACATTTGATATTCCCTGTGGTTGAAAGACTCCTAAAAGTGGTTCTTGTTATAAATGGGGTATTTTTAAATAGCACTATTTTTATGCTTTTAGTTTCAACTTGATGATGAGGATGGTTATGTTACTTGTTGAAATTATCTTCCATCATGATAACCAGTTTTTCCTGAATTCAGTTCTTACAGGAGAAATATTGTTTGTATATTAAAAATGTCCAACACGTTAAAGAAAATCATGAAAATCATCAAAATGTTCTTGTTTATTCTTTAAAAAAATATGAAGTTGTGACTAGAATTAAAGTAGTTCTATTTTTAGTCATGTGTGTTACGTTGCTTTGTGAAGCACTAATGTATTATTGTGCTGTTGTTGTATGGTAATCTCACTGTTAAAAATTATACTCAGTGTTTATTCTACAAATCTTTCAACTTGTAATCATTTACGCTTCGTAAATTAGAGGAAAAAGTATAATCTTTCTTGACAAATTATGAATTAAAAGCTATCCCTTTGTGACTTGCTGCTCAACAATTATGGTTATTTGTGCTTGCAGTTTTGTATACTGAGGCCTTCATGTTTTTCTGTAGGTTTTGTACTGTTTTGGGATATTGTGGTGGCCATGACCTTGACTTCTACCTTAAGCAGCACAAAAGCATTCCAGAGAAAGAGGCTCGTTGTATCATCATGCAGGTTGTGCATGCCCTCAAGTATTTGAATGAAATCAAACCTCCAGTCATTCATTATGACCTCAAACCTGGTGAGTTGATTTCCTCGTATCACACACTTGATTTCATGCTCACTATATGATATTTCAGAAATCATAATTCTTTAATAACTATCTGTTACACTTCTAGTACAATATTCAAGGATCAAATAATTCTTTAATAACTACCTGTTACATTTCTAGTACAATATTCAAGGATCAAATAATTCTTTAATA